TCTGAGGCAAAAATACATAAATGATAACGTTAGAGGAATAACTAGCTACATACACATATATTATATATATATATATATATATATATATATATATATATATATATATATATATATATATATATATATATATATATATATATATATATATATATATATATATATATATATATATATATATATATATATATATATATATATATATATATATATATATATATATATATATATATATATATATATATATATATATATATATATATATATATATATATATATATATATATATATATATAATATATATATATATATATATATATATATATATATATATATATATATATATTATATATATATATATATATATATATATATATATATATTATATATATATATATATATATATATATATATATATATATATATATATATATATAATATATATATATATATATATATATATATATATATATATATATATATATTATAATATATATATATATAAATATAATATATATATATAATATATATGTGTGTGTGTGTGTGTGTGTGTGTGTGTGTGTGTGTGTGTGTGTGTGTGTGTGTGTGTGTGTGTGTGTTGTGCGTGTGCGTGTGCGTGTGCGTGTGCGTGTGCGTGTGCCGTGTGCGTGTGCGTGTGCGTGTGCGTGTGCGGGTGCGGGTGCGGTGCGTGTGCGTGTGCGTGTGTGTATGTGTGTATGTGTATGTGTATATATATGTATATATATATATATATATATATATATATATATATATATATATATATATATATATACTCGCATATATGTATATGCACACACACACATATGTGTGTGTATATATATATATATATATATATATATATATATATATATATATATATATATATATATATGTATGTATGTATGTGTGTGTGTATGTGTATATATATAGGAATTGGCTAAGGATCAAAGCTCAGCCTCATTAATTTAGAAAAAAAGTTTGAACGCGCCGTCCAGCATTCATAAACATCATGGTGACAGAATACCAAATAGCATTGACAATTCAATAAGTGAAATAGTTACTACCTTTCAGAGTTAGGAAACCTGTGTCGCAAATTGTTTAGATGCCAAGTTCAGCCTTATTTATAAAAGAGAATTGAACACAGACAAACTATTATTTAATATTCGAAAAAATAGACCCTGAGAAAGATTATACATAAAACATAAAAGCCAAACATGGGTTTTAGCAATCATTAAACTCGACCCCTTACTCGTTTTGTCCTATGATTTATCTTACAGGGAGATGAGAAAAAAATTGGTAAATTTGAAAAATAATACCATAAGGCAGGAATTATAAGTAAAATAAATTTAAAAAATCAACACCAAAAATACGGTGGGTGTATTTTGTCATGTTTTATAGAAGTCCTAATTTCAGGGAATCAAGCAAAAAACTGTCTATGCCATATGCCTTATTTTGGGCTGTAATCCTCCAAAGGTCCAGATTATGAATATCATCAATCAACCTAATAGTATCCAATTTTTTTCCTGGTATCCCTTGGATTTGTTTTTGCAAATACGGGCATTACGCACAGGGGCATAATTCAAGGCTTATATTTCTTTGCCATAAATAAAAATATCAATCTCGAATTGATTGTCCACAAGCACGGTGCATATCAGGTTTCTTAAAAATCATTTAAGTCATTAAAGTCTAAACGTGGCATTTCTTAACTTTTGCGAGCCTGATAGACACATCTCTGTCTGATCGGAAGGCCATGTCTCAAAAAGTCTTTATTATTTTGTAAGATAATTTTGGTTCTGTTCATGAAAGATACTAGACTACGCTATATGTTTCTTTAAAAGCAAATCGAAGACACGAAGCCGACCAATTTTTAATTCGGGTGTTTTGAGAATGATACTCGATGTTTTGAGTGTGTGTGTATGTGTGTGTGTGAGTTGTATGCGTGTGAGTGTCTGCATCTACGTATCTGTGTGTGCCTATGCGTATGCGTATGCGCGTTTTGTGTGCACATCACCCACATATACAAACAGACACGCGTATTGACTCACAAAAACACACGGCCATTCATGCGTCCTGTTCCATGTTAACGAGAGAAGGCTTCCATGATTCAAAATCCATAAGCGGATTCTCCAGTAAACGGTGATGTGCAGAACGCCATTTCTCTCAGCCAGACATAACGGGGTTGCCGACTTGCTTTAACCTTGGGAAGGTGATCCCAGCGCCCTCGCCCTCGCCGCCCCTGCTTGACTACCCGCCAACAAGAGGAGGTACCTATGCGTCGTTGCAGACACGAAAGCAATTACGCCCACGCAATCTCACATATGCAGTCATCCACACGCAAACTCACACATGCAATCATGCACACACATTCACGCACACGCAGTCTCACACACGTGCACAAGCTCCCACACAATGGTAAATACAAAGATAAATACACTTAGACACAAAGACAAACACACTCTAAAATACAAATATACACACGAAAAGGCAAACACACACACACAACACCAAATACACACATGAAAAAGAACTACACCAAATATAGACACGCACGCACACAGTGATAATTAAACAAACACTCGCTACATACATATTCTCACAGAAGTCGCATCCTACACGATATCCAACGACGCAGGTGAATATGTAAATTAAGGGAAGGCATTATCCGCTTATTCTTTTCCTTTTGACATATACCTCAGAGATCTAAATATAGGACGTGTGTATATATGGTATGCAATTGCGCGTATGTGTGTGTGTTGTGTGTGTGTGTGTGTGTGTGTGTGTGTGTGTGTGTGTGTGTGTGTGTGTGTGTGTGTGTGGTGTGTGTGTGTGTGTGTGTGTGTGTGTGTGTGGTTGTGTGTTTATATATATATATATATATATATATATATATATATATATATATATATATATATATATATATATATATATATACGCGTGTGTATATGTATTCATGTGTGTGTGGGGGGGGAGGGGGGTGTCTGTGTGTGTGCGTGTGTCTGTGTTTGTATATGTGTACGTGCATGCCTGCAGTCGTCACACCTTCACCCCACATCAAGTGACCTTAAATTGCGCCTTCAAGGTTTGGGACAAGCTATAAACCTTGAGGGGAGTGTTGATTTTTTCTTTTGTCTTCGCATGTGTTTCACTGTGTATTTATCTAGTTTTCTTGATCTACATACGTGTTTATGCGTGATTTTTTCCGCACGGCTGTGTTTAAATGTATGTTTCAGCTGTTATTGTTGTTTGTAGTTGTTGTTGTTGCCGCTACTGTTGTTACTGTTGTTGTAACTGAACATGAATATCATTTATTCCTAAAAAAAAGGCGCCAAAAGAAGAATATTGCAGCTTATTATAGTACTACGTCCGTATAGTCCTACTAATTTTGACTTTTTTCATTATGTACTTCATTTTTCCATGGTATCCTGATAAATACTAGGAACTTGTAAATTAAAATCATGCATATGTATAAAAAAATATTACGATTTTAATTATCCAAACGTTTAACAAAAACGGCGCTTCATTAGCCGAAGTCACAGTCAGACAAGGCCATCAGATGACCGCTTAAAAATGGTGGTGGAGGACGTGAACATGATCGCCGTGGTGAATAACATGGTCGTGGCCACCGAATCCATGACCAAATCCGCCATGGCCAAATCCACCATGGCCGAATCCACCATGACCGAATCCTCCATGGCCGAATCCACCATGACCGAATCCACCATGGCCGAATCCTCCGAAACCTCCGAAACCTCCGAAACCTCCGAAACCTCCGAAACGTCGCCTTGGCTCAGCTTTGGCTTCGGCTTCAGCTGCGGGGTAGGCCAACGCCAACTCCAGCACGATGCATAGGGTCAACACAAACAGGATCTGAAACTGCAGGCCAAAATAAATTACAATTGCTTCCAAACAACAAACTGACAAATCACACACACACACATATATAATCGATACGACAACGCACACATGCTTACTAAATATGCTCTTCTGCATCACTAATCAATGGAAAGTGAGACTGGAGGAAAAGCCTAGATGTTTACATTCACTGCAACGCGAGCAGTAAGGAAAGCGAAATGATCCACACAGTATTCCAATAGACTTTCCTGTCGATCCACATTATCCTTTATTGATTTTTTTTATAAACAGGCATATATTAAAAGAACTTGTGAGTCTTTTACCTACTGACCGCAATATAAACCTTTAAATGAATGGAAGGGAAAAAGGACGAAAAACAAATACAAAGTAACGTATAAATTCAAATATTATGAAACAGAGACTCGAAACGTTACGATATATTGTTTCATATAGCTATTGCACTTTACGATTATGGATGGTATCACAATAAAGAAAAATAAATAAATGAAAGCAAAATTAAAGAGAATAAAAATGGCTCCTTCTTCGCTTACCAGTTTCATTTTGCTTCCCTTGTATCAGTCTGGAGAGCTCGTTGGAAGTATGTGATGCCACGAGGCCTGGGCACGGTGTGTGTGACGTGCCTCCGCGGGTCGCTTTATACGGAGGGCGGGCGGCCGGTAATCCCGGGGCTCCTTCCTCATTCCTCCGACGACGACGGCGATCCGGAGGCAAGGCGGGCGGGGACCGGAGGCGGTGACGTCACGCAAAAAATAACCACTTATACATCATGTATGTATGTATAATGATACTAACACACACACATACAAACATATATATGAATATATGTATGCGTATATATATATATATATATATATATATATATATATATATATATATATATATTATATATATATATACATATATATTTTTTTTTATTATTAATCATTCATTTAGATATATATATATACATATATATAGTATATATATAGTATATATAGTTTATATATATACAAATGTATATACACACATTTGTATATGTATAAGTATATTCACACACACACACACACATATATATATAGATAGATTGATAGGTAGACAGATAGATAGATAGATAGGTAGACAGATAGATAGATAGATAAATATAGATATAG